GGATAAACAGACATGTGTGTATGGCGATGTTGTTGTGGTCACGCGTGGCAGAAGCAGAGAACTTTGGTGAGTGTTGTCGCGCGTGCGCAGGTGTTTCAGAAGCACGAGGTCCGGGGTCACGGTTCCGGTTTGTGGTGTTTGTCAGTGTGGTGTCTCTTGGCGCAGACGTGTACAGTGCGAATGCATGTGCTGCTAGCAGTTGGGCACATGTCATGTCGCGCACGTGCGCGTGGACTACGCAGAGAACCCGGGGTCAGTGTTTGCACACACACGAATGTGTTGCAGAAGAAAGGAACCCGCCAGTTGCCTGTTCATTTCGGACATGCGTGCAGCCGTCCGTGTGTTGCAGAAGCAATGGGGCTGAGGGGCCACGATGTCGCAAGCGGTGCTTTTGATGTTCGTACATTTGTGTTCGTGCAGAGGTGTGTTTCAGGGTGAAGGAATCCGTGGTCACGGGCTACGGCGTGTGGGCTCACAGTAAGCGGCTTACAGTAAGCGGCGTGTAGTTACGCAGACGCGTGTGTATCCGCATGTGGCAGAAGCAGAGAGTCTGTGGTCAATGATGTTGCGCACGCACACACACACACACACATGTATGTTTCAGAAGCACGAAGTCCGGGGTCACGGCTCTGGTTACTCTGGTTTGTGGCAGAACCCAGGGTCAGTGTTTGCACACACACGCTTGTGTTGCAGAAGCAAGGAACCCGTGGTCACGTTTCCGATTGCCTGATTGCCCAGGCTGCTTTTGTTGTGATGTTCGAGCGTGTGACTTCACACAGATGTGTGTGTGTGTTGCAGACGCATGCAGACCTGTGTGTTGTGGAAGTCGGTGCTGTTATGACTTGGCCGTGCGGGCCAACTCCCTGGCGAGTTTATGGTCATGGCCATGGGTGAAGGAGGATCACACAGGCCAATGTGGAGTACATGATCTTCTGCAAGTTCCTGTGGAGGATATTGTCAAAGCACATGGGCTGCCAACCCTCGGTTGGCTGGAATATTAGCCCCACCTACGGCCCCGTCTACCTCTTCTTGGAGCGCAAGCACACTGCCAAGGCCAGTGCCAACACCTACGACAACGAAGGTCATCACTTTGTCACCGCCCCGCAACCAAGGAGCGCGCCGACTTGATGCTTCAGACCAACACGCCGGACATACGATAGAGGCGCAGGAGACCTGCGGAGCACAGCTCACGGGGCAACTGCCACAGCCCCACGCCGCACTCAGCAACCCTCCTCCCAGCATGGAGGACATGAAGTCCTATGTGGCGGATGGCATTCGGGACAACACCTTCTCCAACATCATGAAGGTGGTAGAGGAGTCCACCTTCTACAGCGGCGATCTTTCCCGCAAGACGTTCTCGAATTAATACCTCGCGGACTGGGGGTCACCTCAGTGGAGGGAAGCCCATGGCTTTGTTGCCGTCATTGTAACAAGAAAGGCCAATCCGTGGCAGCTTCCGACCCACGGATGCCCCTTCACCACGGGGACGGGGGACACGGCGCCAGCGCAGTCCCACACCAGAAATATCCAGTGCCGCCGACGCCCATTGGCCATGCACCTCCATGATATGGGGACATGGACGACGCAGTGATGCCCTACCCGATTCGCCGCAAGAACATCTGAGCTCGGGGGACTTGCAAAGCCTAGGAGCCTAGATGCATTTTACAGCTGCGCAAGCCACCAGCTCACGCGGTTGTCGTCGGCATTGGTTGTTTCAGTTCCTGTTGTCATGTGCTTGAGCTTGGCAGCAGTCGCAACGCCTGTGCACACAACTGCGGGAACTAAGTATCACTAACGAGCTGATGTCAGATGCGTGGGCCTGAATTTTCACTTCTACACAGGCAAGCAACTCGTGCAGTTTTAACACCGCTCTTTCCTCCGCAACATCCTCTTGACAGCCATGGACTTCTTTGAATACTGCTGTGTTATTAGGATTCGCTAAGGTCGTTGTGTTTTGATGATGCAAACGCTAGAACCATCAACAACGGGGGAAGAAGAGCGTGTAGCTACTCGATCGAAGCACCTTCCAACGCAAGATTGTACACGCTGTTTTCACTTTGTGCTTCGCCGTCAATGCACGAGGGGACTAGTTGTGAATGAGCATGCCTGAGCATTGAAAACACAGTTGTATGCCCCGCTTCGTTCACAGACCATGGAGCGGTCGACAGGCACGCACCATACAGCAACCTGTAGTGTTTTGAACGGTTTGCCTCAGATGCTGTAAGGTGCAGACATGCCTCGTGAATGGAAGCACGTACGGACGGGGACGCTTGAACTTGAGCGTTGGTTGTTGATGAAGTCTACCTTAAGTGTCGCCCACGTCGGTGCATGTGTCCTGCACGAACAAAGAACCCTGATGCATTCATAGTCCAATACACTGCCCCTGCCATCATCGGGGAACTTTGGTCAACTCTCACCCCCCACCAACGCCCCATGCATAACACATGGGAGGCCCATGTGGCCGGGAATTCCAATTCGCCCCCCTGGTTGAAAAAAGGAGGACTGCCTCTGATGATGGAGACCACCACGGCGCCGTGACCGAAGGCCGTTGTCGATACACTGAGAAAGCGTTGGTTGCACTCTCGGACGGATTCTCTGTTCAAGATGCTCCTGCTGGCTGTGTGGGGTTGTGGCAAAATGATAATGTCTTAGTGTTCGTCGTCGTAGTCATCGTTTTCGTCGTCATTTCAATTGCTCACTCAGCAACTGGCACGACGGCCGCAGACGCGATGAGGGTGGAGAGCGCAAGTACGTTTGCGCATTGCGGAGCCCCTTATCTCATGAACGAAAGAGGTTCGCACACAAACACACAGACACACACGCGCGCACACACACATACACTGATAGATTGGGCAGAAGGGAAGAGAAAAGAAGAGGTCAGGAGAAAAATGTGTTGTATGTTGCAATGGAACATGATGAAGTTGAAGATGATGATGATGATGATAACGAGAATGACATGAGAAGCTTGTGCCGATTATGCCAGACCGAAGGGGTGGCATTCGAAAACAAAATGACGTGCTGCGCCAGACACGAAAGAATGACGTAGCGCGAAATGAAATGAAAGATGAACGAAACATGAGGGTGGTCCCGCCAGATGCCCACAACGGGGCAAAGGCGGAGACCAATGCAGGTACGTGTTCCTGGGTTGTGGAGGAGAACTTCGTTGGGCGGAGCTCATCCACAAACCCTCCGCTCCCCTGCATTGATGGTTGAGCACGAAGTTGTAGGAGTGACCCTCCGCTCCCATGTTTTAGGGAGGTACACACACACACACACACACACAAACGCACGCACGCATACACACACACACACACACCCACACCCACACCCACACCCACACCCACACCCACACGCACACGCACACGCACACGCACACGCACACGCACACGCACACGCACACGCACACACGCGCGCGCGTTGTCTCGTGGCCGGCGGCCGGGCAGCAGACAACAAATAAAAGCAACCGAGAAGAAATTGCTGACAGCGGCAGCCAGGGACGGGTGGAAAATTTATGTTTGCGGGAAGCCTTGGCAGAATGCGCAGGCAATCCTTTGGTTTTGCTGTTCGGCGGAAGCTCACGTGCGAGTTGCGCTATCAAATTGGCAGTCAACCGATTGCCCGTGCTGAACGGTCCCGTCAGCAACGTGGTAGACGTGCACCCGGGGACCAGATTATGGCAAGGTGTCCATCGTATTTAGGTTTTGGTGCATGCGCTGCATCGGCAGATGCTAGGAAGTCTTGTGCGCATACGGAGGCATCATGGCATGGAAGGCGCAAGCTACAAACCATGCAGCCGAATCTTTGCGCATGAAATGTCCAACCCGAACTTTATTGCCTGATTTTTTCGGTTGGAATTCGGGCAAAGCTGCTGTGTAAGCCCACCATCACACTCCACACGCAGCAGTGGCAGCAGTATGGCTTGGATACGTCACTGTGGCTACAGTAGTGAGCGGCGTGACCTGCGAAACTTCAACCAAGACAAATTCCAGTGCAACAAACAGTGGACTTGGATTTGATTGTTTTTGTGTCTATTGCTGCGCCCGCCGTGCGATCACCTTTACCATAAATAGGAAACGTCGTCTACACGTCGTAGAGCTTTGTCATGCTTGTCGCCCATAGGGTTCGGCGACCCGGGGCCGGGAAAGCGGAGAGTGGGACAATGTAGGGGACTTGTTTTTTTTGCAGTCGCATGTTAGCCATGCGCTCATCCCGACGTGGTGGCTGCCAGATTCTGCTTGGCTTGTGGTCCGCACAACTAACCGGGTAGTGGCATCGTCGTTTGTTGTCGGCGGAATGAATCAGCCGCAGTGCAGATACAGTACTGCTCCCCGTGGCATATGGAATGTACGCGAAGCAAACGAGAATAACGAGAATGCTGCAACCTGTGGACTTGGAACTTGGATTTGAGGGTTTTTCCCGGCAGCCGCTGCGCCGTCCGCGCGGCAAGCTGTTCGAACAAACGGTAGGTGCGACCACAGCGCAGTCAGGACCTATTCGTATTCGGACTCGTCGTGGTAATTCTGTCGTCGCTGTGGTCGTTGGCCCTGTTCTCGTCGGCTAGCACCCTCGTGCCACTTCACCATTAACTCAGTGTTTTCTCTTGTTGGGTCCTGACATGCTGTAGGTCGGGCCCTTTCGAGCTTTCCCGGGGCTTTCTGAACCTCTTTGCGGATGTGTCTAGTTTGGGGCCGGTCTGGGAGGCCTTCCTGACCCCTACTTGTAAGCTTTTAAAGTTCGGAGGTTTCGGCAATGCCCGCACCCTCACATTCAAGTCCCACAGATTTGACCCAGAGTAGCGCGCTGCCGACGGCAACACCGATAGCAAAAAAGGAGGACGACGCTTCGTATTGCTACTGTGACGACGATGGCTTTGATTTCAACCGGTACTCCAACCACGACGGCTTCTACCACCGATGACTAGTATCTAATGTTGAGGCCATGACGAGTGCCATGCAACTAGCGCGGACTGGGCATGTTTGCTTGCCGCGCCAAGGAAGATCATGCCAGCTTTGGGGCTTGGTGAGGCAGCGGGGGTACAGCACGGACCACTCCTAGGAATCGGAGAGTGGGGCCTGGGATTCCGTAGGGTTCACGGGAGAGATCGTATTTGTTTCACAGCTGTGGCTGGGATGCCTTTATTGCAGTGGTTTACGCACTTAGAGGAGAAGCCATAGAAGCCCCTGTGCACTTTGCGGATGTTTGCCAGTCCGGACTTCCTCTACGCTTGCACCTGGCTCGATAATGCTCGTTGCAGACGGTATGTTAGGGGACACGAAACCGCGAAACCCCCCGCACCGCCCCTTCCAGGAACCGATCCCTTTGTGGTGGACCTCCGACTTCATCAACTCCTCCCCCGAGGGCACAGATCCCAAGGCCGCTCTGCGTCTGCTTTCTTCGCTTTTTCGCTTAAGCGGAGGCCACCTAAGGTATGACTCATTTCTTCAATTGTGTGTGCTCTGGGCGTAGGATGAGAAGTGGATCGTCGGTGAGTTCAACTGCTCCTGCGTCGGCGTCTCCAAGTGCCTGCCGGCTTACTGCCACCCGTCCCATCTGGTCGAGGGAGCCTGTTACATGTTGCGAGCAGAAAGGCCCTGAGCTCAAAGCTTTGCAAGTCCCTGGAGAAGCCCACAGCGCGCAAACTTAAGACCCTTAGCTTCACGGGCTCTGCTTGAGGCAAGGAGGACACCCCGAACGCCTGCTACAACGACATCCCCAAGAAGGACATGATGGAGGCCAGGACTCCTGCACTCCGCTGCGCTCGCTGCGCTCGCTGCACTCCTGGACCCCAAGAGAGCGCAAAGGGACAACGGGAACTCGGCAGGTGAAGAGAGTAGGAGACCTCATCGGCAAGAAGGGCATGGAGGTCCTCGTCTCCGCGGCCAAAAAGAGGACGGAGCAGATTCAGGGATGGCTGCGGGCTGTGCTTTGTCAACTACTTATCGTGGTTCGGCAGATCGCGTTCACCGCGTTTCAGCTCAGTGCCGAAAGCATCACGGCACGCACGAAGGGCAGGAAGCAATCCGAGCAAAGTTTCGGCGCATATCGTTTCTGAGTTTTCTTGCTTCGACCACAAGAAGCCGAGTGCAGGGGAAGCAGTTTCGCTGAACAAGTTGGCATGACATGCTAAGGGTAGTTCTCTAAATTAGGGTCCTTGTTGGCACTGTTGAACCATTGCACGGATTTGTTTCGGGGCACTGCCGCTGTCTGTTTTTTCTAAGTTAGAAAGGGTTCGATGCGACTTTGCAGGTCGAAGCCCGCCGAAGCCGGGCAGTCCTTCTCCGATGGCCCCATTGACGTTTCCGCGCTGAAGAAGGTCGTCAAGGACCTCTCTGCGGTGCTGCTGATGTTGGGTTGGATTACAGACTCGCTCAGGCTGTCCGGGTTTGCCACTCTGGACCAGCGAGCTGGGATGAAGAATTCTCAGTGCCAAAGCATGAAACTTCTAGGCAGGGCAGTCGACACGAATCCCCGCCGCGCAGCGTCCAGGACGACTTGGGCCTGCTGCCACAGCCGAAGCAGCCGAGGTCGCTGGGGAGCAGCGGGGATGAGTTGGGGATGAAGTGTGAGTGCGAGTGTGTGTGCCTATGTCTAGCCGTGCTCTACTCGTATCGGTGGGTGTAATCTAAAGAGGGTTCTGTTGAGGCCTCCTGTCGTTGGGGCCGGGGGTTCCTGCACTCCGGTCAACTCTTACTTGCAACTGGCGGCGAACAAGTCGAGGTTCAGCAGCAAGTACAGGTTTACAGGTCTTTCTAACCTGAATGTGCCAGCATCCGAAGACGGTGTCGAGGTACAACACATGCCTCGCGGGCATCTACGTGCGCAGCCAGCCGCGTCTTGGATTCAAAGGTGCCATGCTCGAGGCTCGAGGCCCAATCTGACACAGGCCCTCAGAGGGCGACAGAGCTCCTTGAGACAGAGCTCTGTCAGAATCTGTCAGATAGCCTTGGGAGGGTTTGCAAACGGTCGCCAAGGGGTGGCGGCACTGACAAGAGCGCCAACGGCCACCGCTACGACAGCATGGCCTTCGCCAATGGCATCATTCAGGCGTGGGTTGGACGCCGGAGATTAACAATGTGTTCAGGCTTTGCAAGATGAACCTGACTGCGTTTTTCAACAATTCTACACACATGGAAAGCTAAGAGACTGGAATTCTCTCACGGGGTACACCAATTCCAACTCCAATGCAATATTTCCCACGGCGGCCAACTTTTCTTGGGGCACTTCTACACTCGCCTTGTGTGTTGGCATTGTTGCCGCAACATGACAGTGCGCTGGCAACGAGCTGCGCGTCGCTCTCGCGTGAAGGTTGTGCATGTCTGACCGCGTAGGATTTGGAGGTGACCTTTCTTGGGCACAGCCTCCTGCAGATGACCGCTTTGATCGTTTGAGGGGATTCCGCCAAGGGAGCTTCCCTGGCTTTCTCGTTTGGACCCTCTACTCAGAGCTTCTACCCTCAAACCCTAAACCCTACAGATTCCACCGATTTTTTTGGGAATTCTTGATTTTCAGGCAGACGGACAACCCCCCCCCAAAAGCGCCTGCTCTTTTTGGGCTTCGATGGTGGAGTTTCACCGCTCGCGAGGCGGGCATGAGCTGCCAGTTGATCAACTACGTGCACGAGGACATTCTTGGGAACTCCAGGGGTCATAGGGTCATGAGTCATGACTGAACTCCTCCAACCCCAAAGAAAGCCCAGACGCACACGAAATCACTGCAGTTTTCCGTTGCCTGATAGGAGCATGACAAGTTCTTCGATGTTGTCAAGAACTTCGATGCCATCATTGTCCGCTGCAACCCAGGACACTGTTAGCTCGCTATGTTGTCGGCTGACGTAGTGCTTGTCATGACCCATGACGCACACCCTGGCCGTTCGGGCCAAGTTTCTGATCTCGCGACTCTGCACAGGTCTCGTTCAGCCTCAGCTGACTTCAGCTCTCCCACCAAACGTTCCAGCAGATTGCATCGGTCACAGCTACTTGTAGCACCCTTCTTAGTCTCCTGCCAGGACAGATCAAGGCCGACGGAGGAGACCAGGGCAAGTTTGACAACGGCATGCGCGAGATGCGCAAGAAGGGGATCCAGGCAACAAGGGTGAATCATGCGTTGAAAGAATTAACACCGGCTGCAGCTGCAATTGTTAACCTACACGCAGACCGTCCAGGGCAGTAGCAGCAAATGCCCTGACCATAAGTATTGCACAACCACGATGAGGTCCTACAAATGGCTGAGAAGCATTGGGTTCTTGGGGGAGGTCTTGTGTAATCGAGTGACCATGAATTCAGGTGTGGCCGGCCCCGGACGTCATGGAGTTCATGGGTGCCAAGGACCGCTACTGGTAGCACGAGCCAAGCTCATGTGCCCGTCCAGCCAAGCCAGCTTCTGACGGCGCAGGATGCACTGTGCAAGATCGCGAGCTTGAAGCTTGGACCGCGTGGATCTTTGCGTGTTCTCTTTCAGACTTTATCTCGGACTTGGCATGGTGCATGAGCTAGAATTTCGACCGAGAGAGCAACGTTCAGCCGAGGAACATTGGGCTCGAGGATACGCTTGCCTACTACGACCCAGCGATCTTTGCTGCCGGTGTCTTGCCTCTGTCTTCATCGAAAACCACTGGAAATGAATGGTGTTCATGTGACTGGCAGGTGGGAGTGGATCGCAAACCTTGCTCTCTTCCAGCTTCCCACCCCTGCCACAGGCATCTTGCCGAAAGCACTGGCTTCGTTCGCCAGTGCTTTCGTCAAGCCGGCGGCAGACATGCATGTGCTGCTCCATGTAGCGATTTGAGTGCATCCAGAGCTCCACTCTCCACTCGAGAAGTTGTAGGACCGCAGCTAGCTTCAGCACCGACCATGCCGCCCAAGAGTGCTAGCGCGCCTTACCAGGTCTTCGCGAGCATAAGTTTCAAGAAGAGCTGGAGACCTTGCCGAGTTCCGTGCTTGGGGTGAGCACGGACGGGAAGGATCTGCAAGGAGAGTGCGAAGAGCTCAGGGCACAGCTACGTCATGCACACCAGCAGCTAGCAGCGATGCAACGAGCTGAGCCAAGTGGAAGCGAGGAGGGGCTCGGAGGCTCGACACAAGCCCTGCTTCAGGATGTGCAAGCAGAGGTGGGACCGCAGCGAGCATTGGAGTTGCGACTGCTTGCCAAGGCCCAGGCCAGTCAAACCAAGACACTGACGTTGATGGAAGCCACTCAAACTAAGGCACTGACGTTGATGGACGCCTGGTGGAATCGCTTGATCGGGAGAACTTCTCGGCGAAGCCTATCGCAGAGGAGGTGACGCCCCCTGCAAAGGTGGTGCAGATGAGGGGGCCTGTGTCGAAGCCTTTGCCCAAGCAGAGGCGTGCATCAGAGAGCAGCAACCCGCCACCACCGAATCACGCGTCAGAGAGCAGCAACCCGCCACCACCGAAGCGCAGGCGGGGTGCTGGGAAGGAGAATCGTGAGCCACCGAAGGAGCCTTGTCAGCAGCCACCGCAGCCGCCCGGCAACTCGTTGTTAGACGAGGCCGAAACTCTAGTCCCGGAGTGCATGGCCTTCATGAAGTTCAAGAGGCAAGATGGGCAGAATGAGGAGGACCAAGATGAAGACATGACGCCTTCAGCAGGAGCGCCAGGCACAGGAACGCCAGGCCTATTCCCTTCCTTTTTCCAGCTGGTGTATCGCAGATTCTCGACACGGGTTCATCGGGACCAGACCCAGGGTACAATGGACCTCTATGACAGTCGCGCCCTTATAGACGAAACTCTTTCACCGGAGGCCTTCGAGAAAGCTCAGCAAGCAGCCAACCAAACGGTGCACCAGCTGACGAACACGATGCCCAAGCCGAAAGGCAGGACGGTTCAGAGGGAAGATCGGCGATCCTGGTTCAATTCGGTGCTGGCCGCCTGCCTCGACCTCCTGCTTCAGTGGATGAGATTCTCGCCAAGGCCGGGGTTTCTCTGAGAGTGAAGCCCTAAACCTACAGCTCTTAAATATTCTTATCCCCTGCTGTATTCTAGCCGCCTAGGCTTGACCTGGTGCCACATCCACTGCCTGCTGCCCCCGCGAAGGATTGTGACAGCTGAGCGCAGGGGAGGGAACTATGCCCAGGTGCTGCATCGGCTGTCCCAGGTGATCATTCGACTACACCATCCAAAAACGCCTTTCGGGCTCGCCGTCTTTGCCAATAAGGTGCTGAACCATGTCAGTGAATGCTGGTCGGCCTGCGTGCACGTCCTCTATGCCCGCGCCGAAGATGACACTCATGGCGTTTTGAAAGTCGGTGTATGCCGCTTCTGTCGGATTCTGCCCCGCACACTAGACTACACGAGGACAGCGGCGAAGAAGGGCTACACCATCCAGCGCCTCATCCGCGTGCTTGTGTGTACTGAGGATTGGCTTGCACGAAGGATCGACGAAAGGACGCATCTCCCACTTTGCGAACTGCGTCCTGAGTACAAGTCTTTTACACACGAATGGTACAGTGAGCAAGCTTTGAATGATATTCATCGTTTGTTCGATGAAGCTTTGACAATGAGCCTCGATCAGTGGAAGGCGGACGAGAGAACCGGCGAGTGCGTTACCAACGCTTTACCGTGACGCACTCGTCCCTCCAGACAGCAGCGAGTGCTGGGCCCAAAAAATCCCAAAACCCAAAACCCTAAACCCTAAACCCGAAGGTGTCTTGCCTCTGTCTTTGACCTTTGACGGCCCCCGAGGGCTGGTACCTGAAGCCTCTTCAAAGAAATTTTAGGATGGAGCCGAGCCTTCGGCTGTTGCGGATCCTTCGTTTTAGCGCACTTTGCAGGGTTTTAAGTGCGGGTTCTCGCCCACGGCCCGAGGTTTCAAGAAGACCATGGCTTTCCAGCCGCGCGTCATCAAGCAGAGCCTTGGTCAAAGAGACCCCTGGGAGAGAGAGCCTGTGGGGCTCCTGACCGAATTTTTCGAAACAAGGGAGCTTCAGGCTCCGGCTCCTCGGCTTCAATCCCCGGGCTCAGGAATCGCGGGTCCTCGGGAGAAGGCATCTGGATCATCAAGCTCAAGAGTGGCAATTACTGTGGCCTGGCCAGCAGGTGGTGTTAGGGTGGTTGTTTACTCTTCAGAGTACAGTCCACTTGGCGCCATCGGAACCCGAGCGACCGCGAAGGTCCTGAAACTTCTGTAGCTCTGAGGCAAGACCTACGGCGAGCGTTCGTGCGAAGACAGCGAAGTCCTGGATCTGATGGAGGCCGCTGTGCTGTCGCCGCTGCTTCCTCACACCGTTTTGAGATAGTGCCAAAGCATGCCCCGCAAGATGTGGTTTGCATGGTTTCATGCCTAGCCGCCCTGGACTCAATCAGAAAGAGTGCTAGAGGCCAACGACAACCATTCGGAAGAGCACACCGTGGCAGAATTCATCGAGTTCTGTGCTCCTTGGAAGCAGACCGCAGCTGAGGGGCTTCCGTGTTCTGCTGTGTTCAGATTCCGGGCCCCGGCTTTGGGAGAGCACGGAATGTGGCAGGTGAGCGGCCGCACTGCGAAGTCGGGCGAGTGGACCTCAAAGGGCGTGGGCAAGCACCTTGGACCTGCAGGCAGACCTGTGACAGGCCTTCAGAACTTCAGCATTGAGGGAGAGAGGACTGCTTTAGCAGGTGTTTCCTTCTTTGGTGACTCCAACCCTTCCCAGGAAAAAGCTTCTTAGCCCAGACTTACTGTAGCCCACAGCAGAAGCCCAGAGCTCAGGTACCTCGAGGGAGGGAAAGAGGCCGGTGGCCAGCTTGTCGATCAACGCCCGAGCCTCGACCCCCGCTCGGCCCCGCTGAGCAGCGCCCCACCTCCTGATACTTCCAGCCTCACTCACAGCTCCACTACTCCATCTGTTTCGGAGAGGCCAAGACATCCTTCCTTCGCAATTCCATTGCAGAAGCCAACATTTGCAGAGCAGTACCTGGCTTTGGAGATCCCTGCTGGCGTACTTGTAGCATTTTGGCAGGGCCTCCACCCGGAGTTTGCTGAGGCTTTTGCCCTCGCATCGTGGAGGGAGAACTTCGCTACAACATGGCTGCTGGGCTTTCGAGTGAATCATTCTCTTAACCTGCCGCAGAGCGTTTTCAGTGTAGCCTCCCACCGTTTAGAGTAGAACCAGCGAGAAATAAGGGAGGGTGCCTTCGAGGACGCAAAAACCCGCGAGTACTGTAACCCTAGCCCGAACTTTCCCCAAGGCTGCAAAGCCTGACTCCCGGCGCACCCCAGGTGGCTGATACCTTGGTTGGTATCATCCACAAGAAGCCAAAGGAGGGTGGCAGCCTCGGGAGTGATGCTTGAAATTCTCGAGAATGTAAGAGCCCCTACGAAGATGCAAAAAGCCCTGGGTTTTGCGTGTACCTGAGGCCGGGGGGCTTGTGCCCCTTCCGAGCCTGAAGGGACGCTGTAATCTATAAAGCCTTCGTGGCAGCTCCGCTGCTCGCAGGTGGCATCAGTGCCGTCGGTGGCACTGGCTCCGTCTACACCTTCTACGGCCCCAAGGCATCTGCACGGTTGCGGGTTCTTGCCACACAAGGGTCCTCCAGTGATCAAAGATCTTACAACAAGGGGGCTGTGACTTTCCGCAGCGTCACCAGGCCCGGCGGGGGGGTTCGTCGGCCTTTCGTGTTGTATGGCAGGAGAAGAAGTTTGCCAGTTTGACCAAGAGCTTCCTCACCGACGACCTGCCTGGAGCCCCAGTGGAGCTTCCCCTTTGGGCGGGCCTTGACTCTGAAGTTGGCTGACTTCTTCCAGGGGAGGCTTATGGCATCAGTGGGAGTTAGAATGGCAATCGAGCAGGAAATGGCAAGTTCAGGCCTTCAAAGAGGCATGGCGCATCATGCGCATCGCTGGAGTGAGCGGCCGGAGTCGATATCAGACAGCTTGCACGCAGAAACGCCAGGTCGAAGATCATGCCATGTCTGGGATTGGAAAGCGACGCTTGGAAAGCATTGGCCATGAAATGGAGGTTCAGGATCATCTCGTGGCGCCAGGGTGTGCTGACAAAGTTGCCTGGTGCGTCTAGAGCGCCAGAGAGGTGCGTTTTGCAGCGAACAAAAGCTCGACCGAGGAACCAATTCCACTCTGGTGGACGTCGGATTTCATCAACTCCTCGCCTCCGGGCACGGACGCCAAGGCGCGTGTCGCGAGCTCAAGAGCACGCTGGTCGCCCTGCATAAAATGCCGAGCAAGTTGAATAGTCAAACACCGCCATTGTTGTCGTCATCATCCGTCTCATCACCATAGTTTAGTATCGCAGTACTGAGTTGCCAGAATAATACTTGCTGGAGCAATCGTACATGCAAAACGAGTGACACGCGTTTTCTCGAAGGAGGACCTTTCATCACTGCCGATACGCACGCTGCCATGGCTGGCACCAAAGCCACCAGCACTGCTGCTCCACCGCTACAGAAACATCACCTAAGTCACATAGACCTACGACTTGGAACCTCTAAATGTTTCGACGTGCCAGGATGAGAAGTGGATCGTGGGAGAGTTCAACTGCTCCTGCGTTGGTATCTCCAAGTGCTTGCCTGCCTGCGTCACGGACGATGCTCCGAGCGCGCAACAGGGCTGAAAGCAGTTAATACGATCTCGGATTGCGGATATAGGGGAAACCCTAGGATTCACTTTTAAAACCTTGAGCCAAGTTTTGGCTTTTCAGACTTGTGCGAGACATAGTGAGACTTTTTCCAGCTGCCATGCTTTCGGAACTCAAGCGGTTCGCACATCAGCAGTTTCTGGTCTCACGATATTTGCAGGAATTCCGTGCTTGTCGCAGTATCCTAGAAAAATCCTACCTCAGTGACCGTCATCGAACAATCTTGTCACGTTGCTGTGCTATCGCGTCTACGACCCATCATGGAGTCAGGAGACTCACGGCGTAGGGCTTATTGCTTTCGAGGCATGCCTTGCTTCCGGATTCCGGAGGTCCAGGAAAATCTATCTACCCTGGCAGGAGAGTCAACCAGGCCTTGAGTATGCCCGCTCACCGCAACAGCTCCAGCCCTTGTAAAATGCCCAGCACAGCATGCGCTGAGGTCCTACAGTGACATTGGCAAGAAGGACATGACGGAGGCAGGGGCCACCAAGAGGGGCTACTTGCATGTAGGCCGTCTTTCGCGCTTTGAAGCTGTTAAGACTTGTAGTTGAGGGGCAGTCTTAGGAGACGCTTTGCTCATGCTGCGGGTTGCTGTTTCCACAAGCCCCTTGCAGCAGCGTCCGGGGATTCTTTTCCAGCTTGGAGATGGCAAGGATACCCATGGAGTGTGAAGTGACTCACAGGTGGAAGCTTACGCACATCATGACCCCTGAGAGCTTGTTAAAAGTTTGCACGTTCTGTCGATGGTGTTATTACCGTCACCATCAGCTCCACGTTTGGCTGTTGCGGTGCGGTGGCTGCTGCCGCTTCATGGCGACGACACCGGCTACTGCATTGTATGCTGCTGACAGTGTTGCTGTTGATGCTTGACGCTAGTGAGCTGCTACTACTTCTGGTACTTCGCAGTCCTCGGGCCACAACGACCGCAAAACAGAGCGTAGACTGGCCAGGTGAAGAAGATCGGCAGCCTGCTCGGCAGGAAGGCGATCGGCGTTCTGAACAAGACCACTACCAAGGTGCTGCGATGGGTTTGCCTTGTCCCTTTGTCCTCCGTCCTGCATGGTTGCTTGCGATCGATCGTCATGAGGTCGTGCAGTCGGCATACTGCACGTACCCAACCTCGCGACTGCTTCGTAAGCGCGTGCAATGCCTGCAATGCCTCATGTCCAGGGAGTCTCCTGCGCTTCTGCCAGGTGCGCCCCAGCAGGGCCGCAGAGTCCCTGAAGCAGATCCTGAAGTCCGTGAACCTGGATGGCCGGGCCTCCTGGATTTAGGACCTACTGTCGAACCTAGGAGAGGAGAGCACCTCTCAATCGTTGTGATCGTCATCTTGGGATTGGGCTTTCAAGGCTTTTGCAGATGCCCGAAGCAGGGAAGCCTCACGAGCTTGGACATCTGTACGTTGGCCACATGGAGCTTGGAAGGCTCGACAGCCAAGCAAGAAGAAATCGTAGCTTCGTAGCTTCATGTCAAGCAGAACAGTGCCTCAATCAACAAAGATGTACACAACAGCATGACGATCTAGGCATGCACGAACACGTCGGCAGTTCAACAGCGTGTGTGTGATCACCGACACCATCATCACAGGAATGATGCGCAGAACATATTGGTGCATTCGGCTTTGCTGGCAACGTGTCAAGTCTGAGGCGTCAAAATTCGACAGTCGGGGTTGAGACTTTGGGCTTTTGCCTCGTCGTAAGCACAGATGGGGAGTTCGGGCATTGCAGGGTTCGTTCGTGGCTTCTAGGCTTCCGAGCTTGAAGTTTGGCTTGGGGTTTAGTTGTCGGATTTACACTGCAAGGTTTGCTTGTTTGCTGCCGATGGTGCTCCGGATGCCAAGCCAGTGAAGCTGCACCTGCGGCCAGCCTCTGCAGCATGGAGCAGTCAGTGCAGGTGGGACTGCAGGCGGGTGGGTCTTCAGCACTCGGTTCAGGGTTCAGACGACAACTGAGGCCAAAGCCGAGTGCAAAGCATGCAGTCTACCGGGAGCAAAAGATCCGGCATCGATTCCGCATAGATGATCGGCAGCAGTTGGCAAATCAAATCTCTCGGTCGGGTGCGTTCGCTTGGAAGCTGATCCTAAGCGGTTTGTTGGGGTTTCGAGCTTCAGACGGTTCCAGGACGAAGAGCTCACGACTTAGGTCGTAAGGCCTGCCTTCAGACACCCTTGGGTCCGATTGCAAGGCCGGCGCGCCGGCGGGCTCCCGAGTCAACGCGCGGCCCACGTGGAAAAAAGCTCGGAGCTACAGAGCAGCCCTTCATGTCTTGAACTCCCCCGCAAATCCGAGATGTGGTAAACGTCGAAGCCTCGGAAGACAGAGGGAAGGGTCCAAAAAGGGCCTCGCAGGGCTGAGGGCTGGGGACCCGAGGACCGAGGTCTCCAGGGCCTTTGTAGTTCCCGCTGCTCTCAGCAATTGAACGAAGCTTTGAGACCTCAAAAGCCCAGCTTTCGCATTGCCGAGGCAAGGAGGATTTGGTCACCCAGCTCTTGGCCTGGAAGAAGAGCTGAGAGCATCTCAGCCATTGCGGCCGAAGGGAGAAGGGCCCATGGGCAACGGTTTCAGGTTTGCCGGTGCGGGCAGCATGAGAATGTCTTTGAGGTTCATCGAGGCGCATTTCTGTGGGCATGCCTTCCGTCTCCTTCTGCCGCCCCGGCGTCGCGATCTCGCATCAGTGTTTGCTCCTTTGCAGAGGGACGGCCTGGAGCCGCTCAAGGTGGGGGCCCACTAAACAGCGCAATATTGTGTAGATAACTGGAGCGCGCAACCTACCAGCAGTCTGTAGCATGTGCTGCGTGTACTGCATTTTATGATTGTCTTGGCATGGTTAGTCGGTTGTTTGTTTGTTTTCGCATGCCTGTGTGCTCGTGCCTGTTTGTTGTTGCAGTATGGTTTCTTCTTAGTCGACAAGAAAACGAGGCCAACATTTGCAGGATTGCTTTTGTTAGTGAGGTTTCAATGCTTCGCAACGTCAATTTTTATGAAAGGTATTTATCTTTGCGGGCAACTGACGTTTTTGTTGGAGATTACATTATCGGGCCACCGCCTTGTAAGCCAATTGTCTGGCGGCTCTGGGGCGCATTGGTTCGAGCGACGCTCTGCGATGATTCGCAGCCGGGAGTGGGCGCCACAGGCCTCCGTTTTGGCGGCCGGTGAGCGCCCTTAAAATATGCCTGGTGGGCGAGAGCGGTGATAGTATTGGGACATCTCTAACCCTCAGCACCTCATCAGGTTCTAACAGGGGATGCGTAACTCGTACGGGACATAAGGACTTGCTTCGGGCGTTGTGTTTTTTGCGAATGTGGTCGCCGATGGAAAACTCTCATCCGGTCATGTGGGGAGTCGGTTGAGCCTCTTGGGATTCTGCCTGCAGGGTCATACCATCAGAGGCGAAGGCGGCGATCTGGATGGACCTAACCCCAAACACGTAAGGACGTATGAGCACAGATCCATACTCGAGCCGCATGAAGGCAGATGCATGGTGGTTGTATGGTTGTCGTGCTGCACTTTTTTTGGCTGATTGCTGTTGTGATCTGAAAGCAACGATTCGCTTGGCCCGCCGGGGAGCTGCCCGAACTGCTGGCCTGGTGACCCCAGCAAGGAAGGCGAAATGATTTTCAGACTTTGGCCGGGCAAGAGCAGTATCATTGGAGACCATCGCAGATTGAAAAGACTACGTCGAAGGAGGATGAAGAAGGATAAGACAAGCGTTGCGTTTTTTGAGAACAGTGGCAACCCCTGGCCCTGTAGTCGTTTTACCCAGACGGTCCACAACCGTAATTGTTGCTGACAGTTGAGGCCATCAGGATCTGAATACTGCGAATGCCTCAAGCCACAAAAACGGGTTTCGTGAAGCCGAGCCCCAGCAGCTTAGGACTGGGAGAGAGCAAGCAGGTGAGTTTTGAGACATCTCGAGACACAGGGATAAGACAGCAGACTACACGCTAAGCCAAGTCCGACCAATTCTGACTTCGACACTCCGTGGCAGAGCGATTCGGGATCAAAGACGATTTGTGTTACTGGGCTTCCTGAGGGAACCTCTCGCTGTTTAATGAGCGCGATCGCAGACCCAAACCTTAACACAAGCCTTCCAGTGGGTGCTTATGCTATCACGGTAGCTACTTCGTTCCCTCTTAGTTCCTTCAGCTCTTTGCCTGCGAGGCATGGGCCATTGAAAGAACCCCAGAGATCTAGGCTCGGAGCGGTCATGTCTTTAGCAACGGGTGAAGACACCATACTACACCTCCTTTTTGCCCCCAGGCAGCAAAAAGCAAACTATTCGCTCTAAACCCCTTCGGGTTCCTAACTTTTTCTCACGATCCACCTCGGGAAGCCTGCCTTTTAAACCGATGGGATCTTGGAACCTCTGCTTCGGCTCGGTCGCACAGCTGGAGTGTGGCGGGCAGCCTTGACGCGGCTTTCGGAATCCTAGGAACGTTGCGTGCTCTCCCCCTGGGATGGGAACCGGACCTAGCGTTTCAAGTTGCTGCGTGCGACCTTCAGATTCTACGACCACTTTGAGGATTTCGGATGAGTTAGAAAGCAGCTACGTAGAGAGAAGAGTGAGCTGAACGAAGCCAGAATCGCTCTTCTAGACGCGGCCAAGGGCTAGGAGTTCATGGCTTCGCGCAGAAGAGTAGGCTTTTGGAAGATGCGGGGTTTCCTTACTTTCATGTCTCATGTTAATTGTCGCTAGCCGGCGTTGAAGCAGCTGCCGCCCCAGCTGATCTCCTGTATAGTGTATCGTTTGGCGCATGGCTGTCGCACGTGGGGCACTGAGTTTCGTAGGATGCGTCTACGTGGAAGCGCCTGGTCCTGAACGGATTAAATCTAGCCTAGCTTGGAGCAAGACCCGTCAACTCCCAAGGTGGATGGACCGGAAAGCCCAAACCCTGATGATTGAAGCTTGAAAGTTGAGGTGATGCTTCTTCTTTGGATACCGGGCTGGTTTTTAAAGAAGGCATTCCAAGCTCTGCATAGTTCGCGCGGGTGGGTTCAGAGTTTGCGCTCCCAGAGAATTCTACCGGAAGCTCGCGCTCGAAACCTTTTTTCTGGACTGGCTTTGTGACACTTCCCGTAGGGCCGTAGGGTCCCGGCGTCGGTAGTCTTTATCTCCGTCGGACAGATGGGCCACATGCCCTCTTCCAGCAGGGGACAGTAGTCGACACCTGTCGACGCAAACAACGTAAGTACTAGGTGCTTGAACGCGGATTTCTGCGAGTTCCACAGGTTGCAGCTAATCAATGCAGACTTGCAAGCTTCAGCTTGGACTACACAATAAGGGGTTTCAGTGAAACGAAGAGCTGAAAGACCTGAGTGCAGCCATTGCACCACCCTGAAACAGACACGAGGACTGCCTGGGCCTCAAAGCCCGAAGTTTCGGAATTTCAAGAAAACACAGCACCGACAGCACCTCACTTGCGAGCGCGCCTCAACTGTTTTATCCTCGACGGTCCTTCAAAGTACCCAAACATCTTGCAAGCATGGCATTGCAGAAAATAACGACATAGATTTTGGGTACTGCTTGTTCGGGTATTTGGACCCCTATAGGGTATGACAGAGATGATTTGGAAGAATTGCGAAAAGGCAGCTACAGGGCTTGGGAAAGCCATTTGCTTTGTCATGTCCGAGTATATTATGTGAAGCATATCATAGTTTATGATGTACATACAATCAATATATATATATATATATATATATATACACATACATATATATAAATATATATATGTATATATATATGTATATGTATATGTATATGTATATGTATATATATATATATGTATATGTAGGTTACAATGGGTATGTATGTGTATGTGTACAAGTATATGCATATGTGCGTGTGAGTGTGTACGTGCAGGAGTATTTGTATGTGCATGTGTATGTGCATGTGTATATGTATGTATGTATGTATGTATGTATGTATGTATGTACGTAAGCATGTAAGCATGTACACATGTACGCATGTAAGCTTGTAAGCATGCATGTATATACTTTATTTATGTATGTACGCATGTGTGTACCCTGGTAAGTATGTATGTATGTATGCCTGCAGGATTTAGGCATGCAAGTAAGTAGTTATGCAGGAACTGATGCATGCATGCTTTTTTTCGCATAGATATATGCGCCGGCAACAAAAGTGCTGATGTTGCTTTATGGTTGAGGCTGCTGCACTAGGTTCATCTACGCAAAAGGATCATAACTTCCTGCACAGCCTTCCAACAAGTACTACATTGGCATGCTGGCATCATTGGTACACAGCAGCACGCGTGGGACGTTGCAGCCCAAACTCCTCATGCGAGCGCCCAGCCCTCGTGAACACTCTGCGCCACCTCGTGGCCTCGTGGGCCGATGCAGCCGACTCTTTGGGTTCGAAACCGTGCTTGTCATCGTAGAAGCCGAGTGCCACAAGCTAAAAGAGCTTCACAAGAACTTGATGAAGGAGTGTCCGAACATCACGAAGAACTTAGGCTTTCCCTTTCGTCGAGCACCCAGCCCCCGAGCAAAAGCTGGCTTGTTTCCAGAGGCATCCCCTTGAGCGGAGTTCTCGAATGCCCAAACCCCCGAACTGCCTGGGCTCTTCGAATCTAACAACCCTTTTGGGCCTTTTGGGGGGCTTATAGGGTTTCGGGTTGGGAGAACTTCTTGGTTTTGTTGATCAACCGGCAATCTCCAAAGCCATGGGCAGCTTGTGCAGCGCAGAGGAGGAAGAAGAACACGAGGAGGCACGGAGGTGCAGTTGGCGCAGGCTGAGGTCAGCAGCACATAATTCCGTTTCTGTCGTTTAGATTTGGTTGGAGGCGTGCCAACGTGTCGGATGCAGGGGAAGCCAAGCTGATAGGCTCTCTGGTTTCCTGTCTCAAACGCTTTAGGCGAAATTCCATGAAGCAGTCACGGCCCACATCCGAATAGACTTTAACCATAGGAAGCCGAAACGAGGTCAAGAGTTCGAGAGGTGCACTCTGCAATCCCTGATTTTGACGCAGAGCCAGCACCACGGATTTCGAACTTCAGGATCTAGTGCAAGAGCGTGAGAGAGCTCGAGAACAGTCGCTTCCTTGACCGTCAACCCTGCAAAATGTGCTTCAAAGCTCCCGAGACCTAATCAGCTTCAGACTTTAGGGCTTTCCAACAGTTCGACGAGGGTCCATGCGAACATCTTTAACCAACCCCCTGCATTGATGCTCAAAAGAGCAACAGTAATTTCGCTACAGTAGTTGAGTGCTTTGGAAACCCTGTTTTGTCACACTGCGAAGTGCCCCGATTTCGTAGACGAAATATCGGCCCCTCGTAACCTTAGCCCCTGCTGCTGACGCAGGTGGTACACCAGGATGGCGGTGAGGCACGATGGCAGAGACTGGGTCGGATCCACTACTTAAAACCCCTTAAACATCACACCTCTAGACCGAACCCGAAATACCGAAATCTAGTCTCTGTCCTTGAGCCCAGAGTATGATAGGCCCGAAGAACGCGGATGACGCACTCCGGAGATCGGATGGAGGGTCCCGAA